CCGAAACTCCCCAACCAGCCAGTTGAAATCGAACCAGACGCCTCTCAACAACAAACAGCCGCTAGTTACATCCGAAGGAAAGAGAGGGCAAAACGGGGAAAACAGAAAACAATCAGCCAAGGGCAAAACCGTAATTTTACTGTAGAAGGGAAAAAGGAGCTGGCTGAACAGTTTAAAATAAAGGCATTTTCGTAAATTCACTGTGCTTAAGAACAGTATTTAGTTGGATTGCCGTTTAGTATATACTAGTAAAAGAGCCCGCGCGATGCTGCGGGTTTTGAAATTACGTAGACAAAATAAGATTATTTATATATACAATAAGATTTAACTTGTAGCATTATGCTTAACTAAGTTAGTATAAGTGGCAAAAAAGGAAGTAATAACATATTTAATAGGCTACTTGTTATGTTAAAATAGTCGACATGTTTGTATATACATTGAAATGCTAATAGTGGGAAGCGGCTATTACAATAACAAAATTTGGATAGTTTTGAACAGCATGTTGTTTAATTGGTTGGGCTTTGTTTTGCAATTTCTTCCTGACTTTTCTTTTCTTTAATGGAGGTCTTCACTCTGTTATAAAAAAGTGGGAAAATAGCAAGTGTTAATGTTGATGAATGGGGAAAATTGAGTTAGGACAATAATCAAAATATTTAATTATGTATAAATAGAAATAATATAATTTAACAATTTAATAAGAAAGTTATAAATGTTTTAATATGTATTTTAATGAGATGAGTGAATTGTAAAAGAGAGAATACAAACTTTAATGTTGGAGTAAGAGAACTAATGAGCAAGTTGTAGATGGGTTTTCAATTGAAGTAACACAAAGTAAACATATTTTAAATTTTGTATTCATCTAAAGAAAAAGTTGAAAAGAGGTAAAATAATTATAGTTGGATATATTGAAGAAAAATTGAAGAAAAGGAACTAAATATAATTTTTAGTTTTTAATTCTTTTATGTGTTAGGCACATATGACTAAAATGTCTTTTGCCCTTATTTCAAGTTAAAATTACTTAAAAGGTTTGACATTTCAGTCGAAAAACGGGCAGTCTCCCCCGAAAAACGGATATTTCCTAAAAAAATTCACCTGTAAATATAACAATTTAATAGTATT